AAAAAAAAAAAAAAAAAAAAAAAGAAACAAAAAAAAAGAATAAATGAGCGTCAACAGTCAACGTTCGGCCAAACCCGGTCCGGTTCTCGACTTCACCAGTCATTAACAATCGACATCAGAACACCACTATTACCCACCAAAGTTCAGAAGCCGCGATTCGGGTCATCTGATAATTGCCGTTGTAGACGCCAATTTTAAATTTAAACCAAACGAGTAACGGGACAGCACAAAACAATGCTGGAACGAATAAAAGCAGCTATATATTAATTTACATCGTCCATTATCCTTTTTCAAATACAATTGCTCAGCATTCTTTTCGCCGACTGATCTTTTTTACCCCGACTATCATCCGGCAAAATCAGTCAAAACACAGCGAAAAGTCCTATATAGTCTTGACCGCCTCCGTAAAATATAAAAGCTTTAGCACTGATTTCTCGTCTCACTAATGCAACTGCGAAGACATTAAAAAAGCCAGAACTACAACAGCTACATTTACGCCTACAGTACACGTGTAATCGCCTTAAGAAGCATGATTGATTGATCACTTGCTGCGAAACAAAATAACTTTAATTGGCAAACGTCCAATGTCTCTTGGTTCAATTCCAAACTTAATTTTTCCGCAATTAACCAAAGGATATCTTAAGTAGTTGCAGTTGTGCTTCACGTCATAGTCTTGCCTTCGGGCCGTGCTTCTCCGTTCTTAATATTTGTCCACAGAGTGGGATTAATTGAGCCTAGATGTTTGCTAAAAATGCGTCATCTTGCTTACTGGGGTATTGGGGGAAAATAACACGACTTAGGTTTGCGCGTAAGTTGTTGATCTGACGGATATATTTTTAAGCCATCCTCTAAAAGAAGTAAAACGTTGTTCAAAAATTTTTAACTGTTTAGTAAAGCTTCAGAAAGTTGCAGAAGAAACAGAAATGCTCGCCTTAATTTTCTGCTTTCTGTACCGTAGCGTGCTCGTTCGAAAGAATGGCGTTGAATTCTCGTTTTTTTTTTTTTTCTCGTCTTGGTTATCGGAGGACACTGGACATCTTTTCTTATTGATTAAAAACTAGGAGAGAAAGAAGAATTTAGAGCTCTCTTTCGGCCCTTTTTTTTCACTTTTGATTATAGAGGAAAAATTTGGTGACGAAGATCTGTTTGGACTATGTAATTTTATTTTATTTTTTCGAATGTATTTTAATGTTGTAGAAAAAAATTCTTATTTTAAGAACATAATATAAGGGAATTTTGAACTAGAATTATAATGGCAAAACGAGTGAAAGGTGGTTGGGATTCATCTGCTAAGCAAAAAAGCAAAAGCATAGGACGAGGCGGTTGCAGTTAGAAGTACTCACCTCCAAACATACTTTCTTTGATCATCAGCCTCCATTTTTTGCACGCGGGGTTTTTGAAACCTCTCAATTCACCCGTAGTTTCAGGATTGTCTCTTTAGTTCCTGCTAATTGTCTAACGGTTCAATGCTAAAATGTTACTGTAGCCCCCCTACTAATTTGAAACACCGCTTTCAAGAGTATTCAGTTCAGTCCAAAGGGCTAGATAGTCTAGTCATCTTGTAATAATGATTCTAAGACTCTGAAAGAAGTTTGGACTCACCACCCACGCAAGTTCCTTTACTCACAATCATCACATTTCTTGACTACCTTTTAGTCTGTTCAAAAATACCGGCTTAGTCACAGTGTCTCAGTCGCGTTCATGGAACTTGACGAATGGCACCAAGTTAGTTCATGTTCTAGAGGTGCCTGCTTTTACCACCTCATAAACCACTCTAGCTCACTGTTTTAGAGATAAAAAAAACCATGAAATTTCAACAGCCACACTTTTTCAACTACCTTCTTTTTCCTAGTACCGTGCTTTAGCTGTAATGCATTTCTTTCGTAATCTGTAGTCGCATCTCTTCATTTCTTGAAGTTGAAATTTTTTTCTTGAGGTTACTTTTCCCGCATTTTGACTACTTTAGTTTAGGAAACGGATGGAGGGTTTATGAAATAGTGAACTCAAACACTTCTCACAACCAAAAGATTGTGACTGAATAGGTATTTTTGAGCAGACCAGAAAATTTTTAAAAAATGTACGAGCAGGAAAATCAGGCTGGTCGTGGGTTTGTACTCGTTCCAGATTTCTGAAATCGCTTTAAAAAATGATAGCACCGTTTATTACGTGACCTGCTGTCAGAGTGCGGCATTGTGAAATGGCGAAGGAGACCTTCCAGCAGTAGATCATTAGAAGGTTAGAAAAAATTAAATGCACAAGTTCAAAAATATTACAGATGTATTAGATGATGATGAGAACCTCGTATGCAAAGATTGAAATAAAGTTGACATCTAAGAAAAGTGTCTTTGACTGTGGGCATTTTTAATCCCAATAGCGTTCGTGGAACAAATAATTTGGTGTTAAATTTCGAATAACAGGACAGAAACTAAAGCAACTTTGCTGAGGTGACATATTGTAAAAGTTTGTTCTGAACTATATGCATAAAAATGTAGAAAAGGGTTTTGAAAGGTTAAGTAAATGAAATAATAAAGGTTGGAAGCTTTTTAAATTTGCTCGTATTATTGTCGTTTGGGTTTTTGCCGTTGCTTTTTTTCTTTTTTTTTTTTGGCATTGCGATTATAATTTTCACTTCTTATATCAAAATTTTCATACGTGTGTTTGAAGAGAGGCAGACTTCAGAAAAGTGCAATTGTAGAGTTCCTGGTGGAAGAACGGGAGTTGGTTAATTGTTGCTTTTGAAGCGCTTTGCCACAGAGGAATTCCTTACAAAGCTTTTTACGAGTGTTAAACATGCAGTTTGGGATGAAGAAGGGTAGTGGTACAAAAACGAGTGTTAAAATCTTAGTTGAAGAGTGAATCATCACAGTGGAGGGACGAAATTTAGAGAAAGATTGATAAGGTCATAGATTTTTTCTCTTTTTGTTTTTAAATTTCTTCTTTTTGTTACGAGAGTTTGGAAGGGAACTTCTTTCTGAACAATTTGCTGAAGTGTATTTGTAGTTAGCAAACAAGAGTTTACAGTTGCTGAGATTTTAATTTCTGATGTTTGTTTTATAGGAGACAGGACCATTGTATTCAACAAGAATCCGAAAATTTTTCCCGATGCAGAAAAGCTTATCTAGAGAACCGCGGTGATTTTGTATTAGACAGCTTGATCTTAGAATAACGTTATAATGCAAGAGAAATAAGAAGTTATGAAGTTTAAATTAAGATTATTTTTACTTAGATTCCTGAAAAAATATCTTTTCTTGACCGTTCGACTAGGCTCAGGTTTTCTTTATTTGAGCAAAGTTCTTTTTGCAGTGCATAGAGGTATTATAATTTC